AGTATATTACTGCCATAATTATTTTCTTGATATTTTTCTTTAACTCCCCCTACTTTGGTCTTCACCTAGCTTTCTCCTGAGCAATGATATCTGTTAATCATTTTTTCTTTTACTAGATATTTTCTCACACACATAGGAAAATTCATATGTGATAATGAAAATTAAGAAGTGTTGCATCTCATTGACCACCTAAGTCCCCTCTTATCCCACATTTTGGGAGATCTGGCTCTCTTCATGGGCTGTTCCAGGAAGGCAGTAGGGTTTTTCTTGTCTCAGCATTCCAGGCCACCTTCTCCTTCAAAGGCCAGTTTCAGAGGTTGGCTCACCTCAGTGCCCTCCGTGACCTCTGCCTTTCTCTCCGCAGTTCCCCTGGTGCGACACATGGAATCTCGGATCATGATTCCTTTGAAGATCTCACCTCTCCAGTGATACTGCCTGTGGCTCCACGTCTTTCCCCTTCTCCCTCAGAGCAGCCATGGACAGAGAAGCTCCCAGTCCTATCTTGGTTTTGTCTCAGATCTGGGAGGACTCTGAGGGCAGGGTATGTGGGTAATGACAGCTGAAGGATGACAGGGTTCTGAGGACTTACAGCTCTGCCCAGATGCTTCCTACCTTCCCCAATCACCTCTTCTTCTGTGTTGGAAGCAGTTTTAATTTCTCTGAAGAACAGCAACCTTTTATGTCTTCTTACATTTCCCCATAAGATTCCTTACCTCAAGACCACCAGACCCCAATTACCACTATGGAAATCCTCAGTTTAGCTTTAGTTGCACTAAAGATAGTATATATCCAGTGATTAGAGGTGGGTGGGAAGGGAGGAAGTCAAACCAGGCAGGCCAGGCTCTTAAGAATTATCTGGTATCCACTGGGCCGCCCACTTGCTGGTCAGTCTGAGTAAAGTCCCTTTTCCTGGAGAAAACGCCTCAGGAAGTAAAGGGGAAAATCCTCAAAATCAGGAGGAGGTCTACATATTCCATCCAAAAAGCTGGGAAAAGGGATGGAAGCCAGGAAGGATCTGGGGGCAGGAAACAGAATGGAACAAGAACACAGAAGGTAGGACTTAAAATTCAAAACTTGGAGTTGAACTGCAGATTTGGAATATAGAATTGGAAAGAACAGAAGTGACAAGACCACTTAATGAGGTTCCTAATGTAACACAGTTGGTAACAGACTCATCTGTTTTTCCCTACATAATGAAGTTGAGAACTTGAAATATGTAGTTCCAGCCCTTTTGCATGGGGGGTCTCCTACA